ACAGATAACAAGGACTTCAGATGAACATACAGAAAACAGAGGTGATGAAGATTCCTGGGCAACACCACCAACAGCAACAACAACAGACAACAATCAGCATAAATGGAAGGAACCTGAAAGAAACAACCTCTTTTACCTACCTGGGAAGCATCCTTTCAATTACAGGCGGAACTGACGAGGATATCAAAGCAAGAATAGGAAAAGCAAGACAAGCTTTCACTACTCTCAATTCCGGATTTTCAACTCCAGTGTGAAGTCAATCAGTGCTACTATACGGATCAGAGACTTGCACTGCGCGTCATGAAGAGCATCTCAAACAAACTATATACCTTCATTAACAGTTGTCTTCGCTCAATACTCAAGATCAGATGGCCGGTCAGAAAAGATCAGCAACAGGGATCTTTGGGAGCGAACCAACCAGGAACCGATTTTGAAACAAATATGCAGGAAGAAATGGATGTGGATTGGCCATACTCTGAGGAAACCATCAAGTGAGTGACATCACTAGACAAGCCATTGCTCGAATGGAACCTGAATGGGAAGCGGCGAGTTGGTCTTCAGTGTGAGGGTGACTTGGATGAGGTCATGTGAAGAGGAGATGAAAGCTTGTGGGCAGACTTGGAGCCAGATGAAAACGTTGGCAGAGAACCGAACGCAATGGAGACGCACGGCTGTAGCCCTATGTTCCTCTAGGAATTAAATGATACAATAATAATAATAATCTAGTTTTCTTTGTACTAAACAGTCTAGGAACGCCAACTCATTCTCATCGGATTCAACCTCTTTGGAAAACTTGATAGTTTCTGACATTTTGTATACATTCTTTAACCTCCTTAGTATTCATATTATGATCAGTATTTACGCAGGTCTTAAGAAAATTTCAAATGGAATATTTAGAATTTTTTTGAAGGTCAAAGGTACAAAAGAATTACACGATTTATGGTGAATTAATCAGCGATCATTATGCATCAGTCTCTATCCAGTGTTGTTGTTAGAAATGATAATCTAGAACAGAGTTACCTTTTAGTTAGAAAAATAATTAATGCGTTTCAGTTTAATTAATTAACTATAATAGGGTAATATAATCCCTTATTCATATTATTGGACTAGTTTTAAGATAATGAAGGAGGAAGAAGGCCAGAAAAAACGACAGCAACGGGAAAGGCGAAAGAATGAATAAATGAACGGATGAGAGGAGGAGGAGAGGATTACCTAGATATGACTTCATCTAGATATGGGATAAACACGAATAAATAAAGATTGCCTTCCTATTTCTCTTCCCTAGTCTATTTATTAATGAAAACGATTATTGGATATTCCTAGGCCAGTAAGTCTTGTATTATATGAATAACAATAATAATAATTATTAGAATTAATAATCATAAATTATATTGACTAAAGATATGTCCATTAAACATTTCAAAAGATTGATTCCTGAACAAAGAATATTCTTAAGAGTTGGGATTTGTTTTTCAAGTTTGCTTACGGATCAATATCCGTTTGAGAAGCACTGAAAGCCAACAGGGAGTACTGGACAGCTGTTACTTTCTAGTTTGAGATTCATTGGCAGTACGCCTCCCATAGCTAGGTTTCGAATTCAGGACCTCCCGGTTACAAGGTGAGCTAGCTTGCAGAGCATTCAGCCATTGTGACTTGACTCACCAACTGTTATCAATCTGAGGTCATATTTGAAACATATCAAATCCCTCCAGAATTAGTCTGATGCTTGCTAGTGATTAGCTGTAAGGCGAAGTTTTTTCTGATTTCTAGTAAGAAGTCGTGACCAGTAGGCTCCGCCAACAGGTCGGAAGTGAGGACAAATACTCACCGATGATACCGGGTGGTGCCAGTGGCGCTTAAATCACAAATTGGCAGATGTTTGGATTCAAGGGCTGGCCACTTAATCGGGCTGCAGTGACTGTGTGGTCTGCCGACTTGAGTTGTTGGATCCAAACCCCTTCGGTGGGTCCAGTATTCTACACTTTTAAGTGGTTCTCCAAAGGTCTTCAATACTAGATCAAACATGAAAGGATATTCCTTTCGATAGCTTCTTCATCAGGTTTAATATTAAACTAATAGGTATGAATGGGCCTTAAAGCTAGCATTAAAGAATCTTTATAATCTGTCAAGCACTACATAAATTGAATAAAGTCTGTAGGTATCGAATACCCTAAAAAGCAGGTGGGTGTTGGATTCTGAGCAAGTTGGGTGTGGTAGTAGGCTAGTCAAACTGCTCTTCAAAATATTTCTTCCAGCATTCTAGTAGTCTGTCCTGAGAGATAATTTGAAGATCGCCCGACTTACCATTTGCCTTTTGTTATCCGTTTGCTTTATAAGCCTAAATACTTGCCTGGTGTTAACTATCGCCGATGCCTTTTCTTTCTCATTCACATTTGTCACCCACCAGTTTTCACGGTTGTTGAGAACACTTTTGATCATTTCGCGTTTGACGAGCTTTCGCACCTTGTCATATTCGAAGCTCAATGGAATCAGCTTTTATGTGTCTGTCAGTTTCGACTAAGTAGGCGAAATCCATTGGCTGTTATTAATCTTTGATTTTATGTTGCCAACAGCTTTCACAGCTGTGTCCACGGCGACATCATATTATACCAGGCCTCCTCAGGATGACTCTGAATGTCAATCTCAGATACGCGTCTAGCTGTTTACTCCTTACATAGAGACTGAGTGTCTTGATCAACTTGGCGGTACAGCAACTTCATTTCTGCCTACTTTTTATGTCCTTTCGGCCGTAAGCATAAATCTTTATGGACCAGGGGACGATCGGAGTCTACGCGTGTGTTTCACAAAGAGTTGCAGTCTTCCACCGACCCTTGCCAGCGATAGTTTATCGCCGTGTGGTCATTTTGAGTCCATTGTTGATTTCATGTTGGAGGTCACCAGCCTAGGCAGTGTCTCTCTTTGTTTTTTAAGCCAGTACCTACCGGAAACAGTTGATTATCTGAATAGAACTGTAGTAAACGATCACCGTAGTCGGCAGCGAACTCCGTAGTCGCCATTGATATACTTCTCGAACTGAAACAACTCCCTTGCCTGGGCGGTAAGGTCGCCTGCCAAGACGACTGTATCTGGGTGTTTTACATTTCGCAGCAAACGAGACAGTTTTTGATAGAACTAATCCTTTATTTTTTCCGAAATACAATCGGCTAGGTTGTAAGCGGAGATTATGAAAAGACGTCAAAAGGCAACGCAGTCCATCCTTCTTTAAACGGATCTGTACATACTAACAGCACACGTGCGACTATTCACTGGAATCCAGTCTAGTAGGGGGTTTTCCGCCTCAGTACTCGATGCTATTCCTACACCTATGAGTCCTCGCGAAATCTGCAAGGTAAATTTTCCGGATTCATCCTGTTGGTCATGTCGGTTTAAGTGATTAACCACACTGAAGTTTCCAACGTGTTTTGTTTAACACACAACATACATCAATGCTTCGAGATGCCAAAGTTCTAGCTAGTGATGTCTGTTGTCTGATTTTGTCAAAAGGTATTCACGTTAAATGTGCCAACATGAAGTTGGCCTGGTGGCATTAAGAGACTATCGAGAGTGACTTTCTGGCTGTTCTCGATATTACTGGTTACAGATTGAAAAGATATGAGAGAGAAGCAAGATGACTGTGAACTAGATAATCGGGAGAGCTTTGTGAGCTTTTGCAAGTGTGTAGGCGATTGTAACTTTCCATCTGCCCATGACGTGGAAGTTTATTTCTTCCTGAGGTAAGTGATACAGAAAAAGGATTAGTGCTACGTGACTGCAGAGCCCAGGGACAACTACGTGAGGCTGATCATACACGGCCTGTTTGAACTAGTATTTAGAGTGTTTTCCGTATCAAAACTGACTGACTGGTTACAAAGTAGAACTTTGCACCGACGTGCAACAGTTCAAGTTGCCACACTCCATCCATGTAGCACACAAGCAAGAGAAGAGAGTAAAGACAGATTCAAAAGAGAGATAATAAACAGAATTGTGAGTGAGGCAAAAAGAATAGCGAAAATGGGATTAACAAACACGTTAATATAGATGAAATATACCAATTAATAAAAAGTAAATCAGGTGACCAAAAAGTTTAAAATCCAAGTCAATAGAAAATGGTCAATACATATGTAAAGATAGTAACCAAGAGACGCAATTACATCACGCATGAAGAAATTTAAATCATTTCACTTTGTGCTAAATATGGCGCTGAAGATGTTGCCAAGAAGGAGGACAAAAGCTTCGCAACTAAACCAACCAGCTCAGAGAACACTTTTAATTGCAAATGATCCACCTGAGCTACAAATCTTCTCTATTATTTCAAAAAGAATAGTAATTATGAAGAACAATATAGTTTTATTGGGTATTATAAGTCGCAAGGAGTGGATGCATCTGCGCAAGACATTAAGGACGATTTTGAACCAGACCACCAATTGTCTCCAACCTTCATTGGTTTTTACCGTCTTGAGGACCCCAACCAGGAAGACTACACCTTCCTACGTGGTTGGCTTAACCTAACTGTTGTGGATTTCATTGACTCACGAAGCCATATCTTCGTTCGACCACCACTGGCTCTTCTCCAGCCTGATCGTCCATTATCTGTCAGCTAACATTGCCCATAGAGGAAGGCGGTGCCTAGGCAGCGCATGCGCAGCACATGTCCTAACCATCTCAGTAGGTGTAATTTCACAGCCTCGTTTATTGATTTCCTCTCTTTACCTAGCAGTCGACCGAAGCCTAACCTCAATATTGCTCACCCTATTGTACCATTTCACACGTGGAAAAGAACGCAGGCACCCATGATCAAAGACAGCTGGCCAGGCTTTTCCTGTCTTCCACTCTCAATGGCCAGGTCTCACAACCATCGAAGAGGACGGAATATCTCTAATAACTATAATTCTCCAGTTATTATTATGCATATAATATAACGAAATAACCTGATGAAGTTTTCGAAAAAAAGGTAAAATAAATAACTAGATAGATGAAAAGCCAAGTCAATAAATACTTACCAGTGTTACAACTAAATGATAGAATACAAAGTATATCGCTACACCTGTAGTCACAGCTTCATTCTCCACAACATCCATTGTATCATGCATAACAGCGACCCAACCTTTTTGTGTAAGTATTTGAAACATTGACATAAACGCCTGACGGTAGTTGTTGATTTATGAAAAAAACAACACAAAAAAAGCGATTATGTATACATATAATGAGTGAAGGCTACTTCACAAGTACTTTTTTATTCTTGTACCTTCCCAGTGGAACAAAGGGCTACTTCAAGCTAGAAGCTTGAAGTTTCTGTAGCAGTGGTGTTGATTTATACGGGATGGGGTTCCTGGCCCCATGTCCAACCTTCCCTCCTTACCAGTCTAACCAGTGGTTTGGCAAGGTAAAGAAGTGTGTCTGTGGCCGGGGATCGAACCCCGGACCACATAGGCGGTTGGCGAGCATTCTACCGCTATGCCACCGAAAAATACACTTCAAAAAATCTTCTTAACTCATTTAAATTACAGTACGGATTTTGCCAAGAACTGATAGCAATTTGAGGGAATCAATAAAAACTTCAAGTCCTAGTTTGAAGTTGTTCAGAAGTGGGCATCCATGACCTCACCAGGGATTGGCTAAAGCACCTTCAGGTTGCGAGACAAGCCTATTGATCATTCAACTGCCAGGATAGAACTGAATGACCCGTGAATCTTAAATTAAGATGAAACAGATACCAAACACTGCTGGCTTTTCAGTCAATCAAAATAATTTAAAACAATTAGCATTCTTCATGAATTTAGACAAAGCAATAAGAAGACGTAATATGTCCGAACCGTGTATTGTGTGTTGGCGCAACACATTTCGAACAATCTGATCCAGCACACACGGACTTGTCATAGGAATACATATATGTAATTAACAGAGTTAAGACGTGAGAAAATAAATTTAGGTCAAGTTAAAAGAATATACTGAAGGCCGAAATAAAAATGGAGATCACTAAGCCAAATAGCAGAGGTAAAATAGTACATCTGCTATGGCATCAAAACCGAGTTTACCAAGGAAAGTTAAGTTTGATGACAGGTTGCGTTCGAACGCATATAGGTGGTTTAAACTTTCTAATTGGCAGCTAGAGCTTCCAAAAACTTTAAAATACGCCCCAACCACGTTTTACAGATAGGTTTAAAAGATGTGTAAACATCAATTTTATGTCCTGTTTCTATATGTTTCGCGATAGAAGAGCTAGGTCTCCTGTTCTCACCATTAATGGGTTCTGGGGATTTTGTTTGCTTTTGAAGCCGTTTAGGAATATGCTCTGAAGGCGTTACTTGCAGGGATCCATGAGTTCTTTCCATGAGTATGTGGCCACACGTACATTTAAACTGGCGAAAACAATGGGATGCGATATGATTTTGGCTTCATCATTGGCTTCAGAACCAAACGGAATATCCAGAACCCAATAATGGTGAGAACAGGCAACCTAGATTCTCTATTGAGAAACATATTATAGAGACAGGATATAAAATTGATGTTTTAACAACTTTTAAACTTATCCATAGAACGCGTTCGGCGTGAATCCTAAATCATTTGGAAGCCCTAATAATTAGATAGTTCAAAAAAACATTCCCCATCACATCAAACCTTCGTTGGTATATTTTGTTTTATTACCAGGACAGGCATACTGTTATCTCCCTTCTTTGACTAACTGATCTATTTTTTTTATTTTGACCTTCTATATATAGCTCACTTTAACTTCTCGCATACCTTAACGCTTTATTATTTTCTTATGTACACTCCTGTGAGATGTAGGTGTGCAGTCACATTGTTCGAAATGTGTTGCGCAAGTACACATTGCGGGCGTCTGTGGCACAGCGGTAGAATGCTCACCGACCACGCCTCATGTAGTCCGGCCGATTCGATTCCCGGCCACGGACACACTCTTTTACCTCACTAAGCCAGTGGTAAGACTGGTAAAGAGGGAAGGTTGGGCATGAGGCTAGCAACCCCATCTTGTAAAAATCAACACCACTGCTACAGAAACTTCAAGCTTCTAGCTTGAAGTAGCCCCCTGTTCCACTGGGAACATGAAGCAATAAAAAAAATACACATTGCACTGTTCAGATAAATTACGTCTTCTTATTGCTTTATCTAAATTAAAATAATCTCAATCTCCAAAAATCTTAACAAGTGTGTCAATGAATTAAAATTAATCATAATAATAATATTAATAATAATAATGATAAAGTAGTTTATTTCTGGGTTATTTAAAGGACCAACCTACGATGTACACCTGTGCAGATAAGAATAGTTCATTGGCAACTAGTAATGATGAAAGAAAAAATACTCCAGTTAATCGTTTGCCCAATTTGATAATGATGATAACTGGTTGGATCGCAAACCAGAGCTCACGAGTTGACATCATTTGGAGAACCACTGGAACACCATGGAAGTAATGGAAAGCGGTTTCGTCCTAGTTTGGAATATTTCATCAACACCCACCACCACAAGGGTTCGAATCTAGGGTTTTCCGGTGGTAAGGTGAGCGTTCAGCCACTGGAAACTGATCCAATGACCAGTTCATGAGTTCTACTATTTACAGAGCATCCACCACCACCACCCAATGTTATAGGAGAGTAACTGTCCTCTTATCTGACTCGATGGACTCAGCTGGTCATGACTTCTCAATGGAACTCCAGGTAACTTTCTGTGTACAGTCAGTTGCCTTCAAGTATCAGATTAATTTTTAGATGTTGGTATGCAGGTATTCGACTGGTTACATATTGTATTTAGACACAGAAGCAGTTGGCCTAATGATTGAAACATTTTCTAATGAAAACTGACCAGTAACTAGATTGTAATAATGATCCTTGATCCTTGATGATACCATTCAGCTTCCCTATGCTAAGCTTATAACAATTGTGAAAATATCAGCAACATGCGAGAAGTGTAAATGTGTTTACACCACTGACGAGCTCCACCCAAATGTAGAGAAATGGCCACCTGGTATTCAACTCATCTCGGTGCACATTGATTTGATGATATTAGATGGTTGGAAGCAGTTGACCACAGGAAGGCTTTGACACACCTAGGTTTCGTGCTAGTTGACACTCACCAGTCAGAAGTCATCAAGGCGTTTCTGCAGTCACCTTGAAGGAACTCATGTCCCTTTTTTCTGAGATTTGAACCCGCGTCACCCAATGAAAGCTGAAGTCAGAGACGTTACCACTGGACCACCAGTTCGGTCTCGCGATTGACCTCCTTCCAGTGGGACTATACGGGATACTTTAATTAGACACAAAGTAATAACTAGTGTGGTGCGTGTTTGCAGCTGAGCTCATTAGTGGCGTAACCGGTATGACTGAGCCCAAACAGCTGAACCAGTTAAAGCTAGTACTACAAGTTAACATCAGTGATAGACAACTACTGATCGCAAACAATTAGTAATATAGATAGTTTCGTGCAAATATGCTCGAACTGTGTGCCCTGGGAAATTCCTAATCAGGCTCTATAATTATATATACATTATAAAGAATGAATGAATTAGTGTTATGAACAACATTATTGTTGTTTAAATAACATCGAATCAATAATACCGACAGATTACAGCTCAATAGCATCAACATAACATAAGCTGAATGTTAGAAAAAAGATATAGGAAGATAATAATACAAAGTCATGAGTTCATAGTCTCTACTGAAGGCCGACCAGAGCAGTAGTAGTGGCTGGCTGGACTTGTTTCTTTTGCACACAAAGCACCGGTTGTTTGAGGTGAATTGCAATAGCTTCTGCTGTCTGGAGCATGCGGTGCTTCGATGATTTTAGCAAATTATTAGGCACCCAGTAGATGATAGAGAAGGATTCTTCAATGCTGGTTGGCTGTCTTTGTGGCCGGTTTGCACCAGATGGTCCAATATCGAACTGTTAGTGGTGTTTTCACTACACCTTTACTTAGTCATAGTGGGAGATGTTCTCGAGCGAGCACGGAAAATTAAGTTCCTACAGGTACAACGGCCAATATAACTCGCTTCACAAATTACTAATTCAACTTAGGTGGTATTTTAATACCTACATCTAATATCTAGTTTTTAGTCAATATTTCCCAATCAGAAAAAGCGACAATCTCATAAATATTTTTATAATGTGCCTATTAAGTGAATTATTTTGCCCAATTTACTTTTGACTTACTTTTGGAAATGTAGAGAATCTATCGAAAGTTGGTTCAAATACTTGAAAGAAACAAAACAACTGTAAACTGAATGTTGACGTAATCATTAAGAAACAGGTAGTGAATAAGATTAGACTGCCCAATTTTTTAGCAGGTCCAAAGATCTGAAATGGAGGAGAAAAGAAGGAGATTAGCATGAGATTAAATGGTGACAAAGAACATTTAAATAAGTCGACAGCAAGTTATTGATATAAGAATGAAACTTGGTCACTGTGGTGGTAGAGTATACCTCCATTATGCATAGAAATTGTATTTTGATAAATCACACAGTGGTGTTATACAGTAGTATTAACTGATAACCACGTTTCAACTACAAGTTATTACTGCTGCTCATAATCATATCAGGTTACCCACACAACTTTCTTGCTTCATTTGTATACATGAGTACAAATTGATGATCAGACATTTGAATAAAAATCAATATGGGATAATGTACATTCAGAAATAATAATAATATGAGTGTTATCAATCAAATACAATCAGATGGGAAATAAGACGAGTGGTTTTATTGTCAAAATTAAGTAACTTGTTAGAATGTTATGATGTACGTGAATTGAATTGAAATAGAATTTTGAGATTATTTATTATCCTCCTCTTATTTGACTGACTGGTGGTAATAATATCTTCCATGAATATCTCTGGTATTTGCATTGAGTCATTTCTGTTGCATGTGTTGTGTTGGGTGAAGACTTGATGAACTAGGATTCAGTAATCAATCTCTCTCTCTCCACGTATCTATATTACTATCTAGAATTTTAACCCTTTCCCACCCAATTGTGTGGTTGTGTGTTAATGCATGCAGCGCTATTGCTGAGATTTTCTCTAAATTACTTACCATCGTGGGAACAACCATTTTAACCTTAGCTAAATTCTTATGTTCTGATAATCTGACTACCCCCCCTCCCCTGATCTGCTAGTTTGACCTATGTAACACACTAGAATCACAGACATTGGAAGGTATTTTGTAAATTATATTATTTTGTTTAATTGGATCCACCGGGTCCTTTTGTGGTGAGAACTGTCTGCAAGCCAAATTGTAGAAACCAGTTTACGTCAATGCTTACATCCCGAATCAGAGTCATGAGAAAAAAACAATAACAAAGCTTAACCTTGATGAACCCACCAACCAATCAAAGCAGACTCAACGTGTGCAAATACGCTTCGCCATAAAGAGATGACAGAAAAACCTTGTCATTCCATATGGAATAGAAACCTCAGACGATATGAGAAGAATAATCAGTAACCACAACATCGGAGCTTTCTTCAAAACGTAAGACATACACTAAAAAGCAACCTTGTTCATGTGAAGGGCCAAAGGGTTCCAAGGGAATCACAATCTAACTGTGTCTATAAAATAAAATGCTTGGAGTGTATGTGATGCTATATACATCGGACAAACTTCTCTAGAAAGAAATCAAGTTCAGAAGAAATGAACACCGTAGAGCCTATAGTCAACCATCAATAAACCCAGTGGAACTAAAAACTTTGGAAAATCGTCAGTCATAGATCCTCTGCACACTGTAGGTTCAGTCCATAAATGTGAGTCTGATAATGTTGAAATTATTCAGAAAAATTTCAAAAATCACGAAGGATATTTCATCTCATAAGCAATTTAAATTAAATTGGATCCAAATTGTCTGACTAGTAATGGTGGGCTAAGATAGAATTAGACATGATCTCAGTGTCCTCCTCCCCCATGAAGTTACATTTGTCCATCACACATTTATGTTTTAATGCTTCTATTGTGTGGTTGTGTTATAATATTGATAATGGTTTGTTTTACGATGTGATTTTCTTGAGGATGTGACGGTAATTTACAGAGGGAGTTATAGATGCTTGATTCTCGTAGATAGAGATTTGGTCTAGCTGCAATATTGAGGTAATTTTGAGTTCTTGGTATTATTATTATAATTGTTGAATAGAACTGCAAATAGACCTAACAAAGACTAATCGTTTTTTGCTGTCACTGAAGCGTTTTTTGACTTTGGGTTTCGCGAGGAAGTTTTAGTCCCCTATGCTCTAGGATGCAAAGATCGGTGTCCTGCATTCAAACTTCTCAACGAGTCAATTTAGGCTGTTTAGCCCTCCTTCATCGTTTTGCTTTCAGAAACAGAGCTAGTGAACTGGCGAATATTGACAAGTGTACCACTTCCTACCTCTATCATAAAAGCGACGTTATAGTATCCCAAAATATTATTCAAACGTTTTGTTATAAATGATGGGTTGGAGGATTTCATCATGAGCTGACATCAGTTGGAGAACCATTGGAAAACCAACCGGGAGTACTGCCAGACAGCTGGTTCGTCCTGTGGCTTCGGACTCTTTATGAGTGAGCACCCATCCACCCAGTTCGAACCCAGGACCTTCTGTTTACAACGCGAGCCAGCTCGTAGACCATTAAGCCACTGGGACCTGATCCAATGGTCAAACCATGAATTCAAATTTCTGTCAATTCACGATATAGCGCCACCACTACGCAATGTCTTCTTCGATAAGTATCTGTCCTCACTTTCAGCATGCTGTACCCTACTGGTCATGGCTTCCCACTAGAACCCCAGCTAACTACCTACCTATTTGAATAGGGCCAGTCGCTAGTGAGCATCAGATTAATTTTCAAGTATTGGTTTTAAAGGAGATTTTGTTTGACTGGTCGGAGGATTTCATCATGGTCCTTGGTTCGAACCCTAGCGGGTGCGTACTGCTGAAGAATCTCAGACTAGGACGAGAGAAATAGATGTTCAGTACTACCACGTTTTCTAGTGATCCTCTAACTGATGTCAGCGTATGATGAAACCCTCCAACCAATCAAAAAAAATTCCCTGCGGAAAACCAATACTTGAAAATGATGAGTTATTTAGAAGAGAATCATTGATCGGCAGCTTACCTTGAAACAAAAATCTTCTAACATTGGAGATGCTTTGATTAAGCGGACAATACGTAGAACCTGAAATAGAAAATGAGTAATAGTCAGTATGAGGAGATTAGAGCTTAAATGCAAATTTTAGATGCATTTCTTTTAAAGATGAATAAATGTTAAACATTGATAGACATAATGGAGGAGATTTGTAGCTCAGTTGGATAATATTGAATGAGTTGTGTTCTGTGAGCTGGTTGATGAATTAATTGCGAAGCTTTCGTCGTCCCCTTTCCAGACAACATCTTCAGCTCAGGTCTTAGTAAGAAATGGACTTATTTGAATTCTGCGTGGATGATGTAAGTGTATCTCCTGATGACTGCTGTCCTGACTGTTAATCATATATTTTTTTTCACTTGCACTTGCGGAAGCAAGCACATAGGAAGGACTGAGAGGAGAGCATCTACTAGATTTTCTCAGCACATTCCTAAGAGTCTCCGGACAAAAGGAAGAAAAGTGTTATCCGGTGCAATCGCCAGACATTTAATTGACACAGGACACACAGTAGAAATTAGCCAAGCCTTCAAAATAATCAATACACAAAGAAACCCATGGCTACTTTGCTTCGCAGAAGCCACTGCTATCAAGAGACTTCGACCAGACCTCTGTATACAGAAAGATAGTCTGACTTATCTCTCACTACCCTGGTAACCCTAACTCTATTTTATTTTATTTGTTTTATTTTTGTTTTGACTTTTTGTTAGTATGCCTGTGTGTTTATCTTGTTATAAAACATTCTATTCAATTTCGACTTTCACTTGCTAAGTTGAACTGACTATCAAGTTTCTAAATCCATTTAATTGTCTGTTTAAGTTCAAAAAAATGTTACTTCACTATTCACCCCCACCCTGTTAAACTCTCCACCACAAGATGTGTAAATTCACTCTGTTCTCTGATCCTGAACCTGTATTATGCCTCTAACCAATCTGTGTTTTCCAATAGAAATCTGAACTCTTACCCCTCTTATCTAATTCCACTATATATAGTTAGTTGTTTTTTGACACTGAATAATCTGTCTACCTACACCAAATTCTGGAATTATGTTCCTTTTACCTTCTATCTATAACTTAAAGTAATTATGAAAAGGTATGTTCCAAAACGTTTTCGAAACTTATAATTTGATTTTGTTTGAGATTAATGCAGTTGATGAGTATCCTGCAAACATGTTCGTTCTTTCTCTCTTCAAACTTATAAAGGGAACCGGTTGTATGAAAGATCATATTTTTATTGATTTGCAATTCGAACTTTCTTGTCATTTGATTTAATTTTTATTAGCTGGTAAAATTGGACTATAGTAATGTATTTGTTAATTGCTACTTAATTTGAGTACCAGGCTTCTAAAAATTTCCTGACTGCATTTTCGGTGTTTCCTCTTTTTTTGAAAATTTCTGCATTATCCCAATGTAATGTTTAATGGCACGTAAGCTCAAAGACACTCAGGCGAAAACCAACAAACTGGAGGAAGTGGCAACCCGTGAAGATTGGACTGCAGGTTAACACAGAGAAGACGGACAGAGGTGATGAAGATAACCAGCCAATCAACCAACAACAACCATTACCAATCACCATCAACAGGAGAGATTTGAAAGAGGTCACCTCCTTCACTTATCCAGCCAGGAAGCATGGTTTCAACCATACGCCGGCGGGATAGATGAAAATGTCAAAGCTAGTCAGTCAGAATCAGAAAGTCAAGACACACCTTCATCAAGTTGGAACTGGTTTGGAGATTTTCTGCTGTCACTCAGCTTCAGCATAAACAACAAGATTCGGATTCTGTTCAACACAAAGGTGAATTCAGTCAGTTGACGCTTCTATGTGAGTCAAGGAAAGGGTTTCCAGTAAGTTACAGACTTTAGCCAATAGCTGCCCTACTCTCTGGCTCCATACTGAAGAACAAATGGCCAGCTAACCAGCCAGTCAGAAAGAATTGGTAACAAAAACACTGGCTGGGAACAAACCAACAGGCGAGAGCTGATCGTTCAACAAATATGTGGGGGAAAATGGAGTTTGATTGATCAGGCGTACGTTGAGGAGGCTGTTGAGTGATATCTCGTTGAATTCAGGCCATCGATCAGGTGGAATGAGAATGGGAAGCGACTAGTGGTTTCTCACTGAGAGGGTGACATGGAGGACATCGTGTATGGAGGAGATTAGAGATTATAGACAGTCACGCAGCCAGCTAAACGGGACGTTATGTGACATGATGAAATGGAGATGGACCTTGGAAGCTCTAGATTACACTCGGAACCCAAAGAAACAATAATAATAAATGTAAGTGTAATTAAATTTTAGATTTTCCCGTCAAACGATTGGACCAAAGCGCTCGGTCTCAGGTTGACATGTCGGCTACTTGTGCAGATCCTTCGACGATGTCTGGGCATTTAATTAGTATTTAATTAGTTTCTGCTCAAGAAGCCAGCATGTCAACAAGAGACCGAGCACTTCGGTCCAATCAATCGACGGGAAAAGAGGTGGCTCTCGTGGCCCAAGTGGTCTAGTGGATAATGCTTTGGCTGGCGTTTGAAACTATAGGCACTGGGTTCGAGCCTCGGTGGGAACATCATCATTCACTGAGAAATGCAGGTACATCCACTGGCGGACGAGTCCCAAATAGGATGAAATGCTTATCCTGGATTCCACTGCTAGTCATCATCCACCGATTAAATAAATGTAGGTATATGGATGGAAGTGAAAATCACTAGTGACGACAGAATAGATACACAATACAAATGGGCTGTAATTTTAAAGGAAACGCAATGAATAATCATATAGGAATGGGAACAAAAATAAAAATATAATTGAAAAATAATTATGATATATGCGCATATTTGTTGACAGACACAGAATAAGGACAAATTCACTTTCCTGTGAATCAATTATACAGTCAGTGGAATATTGGATGAACAAATAGGTAAATATTAGTGATTTACAATATTGAAAATCATAATTTTTTAAAATTTTGATTATAGCTTGATTCCACATCGTGTTTTGGTACAGGTATGGGATTTTCAGCATATGCTATCGGTAACCTGAATTTCGCAGGCCGAACATTGATATTAGGTGTGCGTTGGCAGGGGATCGAAGCTCGAACCGTTCAATATTTTCATGAGTAAAACCTCTGTGAGATTCTAAACCTCTTTTAAAACGGACACCTGGAAGCTAATGGAAGAGAAGAGAATGGCGGTGAAACACAGAAGATGATTCAATGCTAAGATGGGCAACAGAAGGAGAAGCTGAGTTCACAGCTATGTACACTGCAGTGAATGAAGAAAGACGTAAAGTAGAGTGCTAGAAGAGACGACACACTGGTAACTGACAACTGAAGCAGAACAGGCAGGCATGCAGGCCACAGGTAAAAGGGACATCAGGATATTATATCAGATAACCAGGTCTGTATCCAAGAAAAGATGAACTCAAAGGACTCTGGAATCGATCATCATCACCTGCAACTCGCCTAGAAATGCAACCATCGACAAACACAGAACTGCCAGTGGAAATCCAGGAAGGCAGCAAGGCCAGACGAACTCAGAGACTGTGGCAGATGTGCTCACGCCACCATTGCAAAATGGAAGTTGACGAGTTTGCTGTGGGTGCCAGGGTGACTTGGAGGAGATGATAGATTGTGGGCAATCACGGGGCTGGCCAAAGAGGACAGCAGGAAGCAGAACAAAGTGCAGATGTGCTGTTGAGGCCCTTTAGTACACTCGGAAGCAACGGAAAGAGTAATAATAAAAATAAATGTATCATAAACCATTTTTCGGTTTTCTGTAGAATGAACTCACAACAATGAGGTGAATATTTGTATTTCGTATTGTACTACTTAATAGTTTGTCTGGTTGAGTGTCCCGGGATAGTCAGTCTTCAGCAACATTCCAGTAATCCCTTCTAATGAGATTTGCAACTTTAAAACTCGCTGTATTCGGGGGAATTCTATTTTCATGACGTTTTATGGCACATTACTTCTTCTAGGTGATAAATGTAGCTTTGCTGAGCAGAATAATGCAAAAGACTGATTCATGAACAAAGAATATCCTCTGTAATAACTCCTTCTCCATCTAGTTCTACATCTACATGACAGTAATAATTGAGGGTATATTCTTATTATTAACATTAATGTTGTTTTGAATTATACTGTATCAATCAATAGTGTTGATTGATTTCATTTCAAAAGCATCAGTAAGAGACACAGAGACAGGTAATTTCCACCAATAGAACACTAAGCTGATTGAATATCGGATGAATCATAAGAAGTAATACAGAATTTATGAATTTATAAGGCTGCACACCAGGCCACGGTAGAAGTAGTGACTGAATCTGCTTCTTATGCAGCCAGAACTCTGACTGGCTTAGGTGAATTGCAGTGGCGTCTTCTGTCTAGAGTGTTCAGTATCCAGAGGCATGTGGTAGCTTCTTATTCGATACCGGGGAGATGATAGAGGAAGATTTTTCAGTGGCGTGTTTGCACGGAGGGATGCCGTACAGGACTTTCGACTGTAATTAACCACACTGGTAGATGTTCTTGGGTACGAAAAACTAGATTCCTAGAGCAAACACCATTATTCCATATTGGTTTGTTTATTAGATGTATCAAAGAGTGAAACAGTAATATTTACTGGATGACAAGGTTTCGAACACAATTTATTGCTGTTCATAATCATATCAATTATAATCACACGACTTCGAAACTTGAGTTTTATTGTTTTCTTTGTTCTCACCTATTTTTCGTCGTTGGGCTAGTAGAATTTCCCAGATATCCAGATGGTAATTGAATACAAAGAAGGAATCTCGGAAGCCTTACGCGGAATTCTTAACAAGGCAGGAATAAGAGTGGCATTCAAACCCACAAACTCAATTAGAAACAAGCTTTATCGGTTAAAGGATCCTGTAGAGGCTTTAAAACAAAACAATTTAGTTTATCTAATACCCTGCCTGCAATGATTGTCAGGTCAAATACATAGGTCAAACTAGTAGAAAAGATGCAGTCACACTAGACAAACATAAAAAGCTAGCAAAATCTAGATAATTTGACCCGAATAAGATAAGAGATCAAGAGAATAGTTCAGCTATAACATTCACTACATGCAATTGCGCACAACACGGCCATACAGTATGATGGGATAGGATGACAGTTTTAAAATCTAATGTAACAGGGTGGAGAGAGAAGCTTTGTTTATCGAATCAACTGCAAATACATGTAATAGGAATGATTCAACACCTGTCCACTCAGATATCTGGAAAATCCTACTACTCCAACAACGACAAATAGGAAGGAATAAAGAAAACTATGAAACTGAAGTTTCAAAGTCGTGTGGTTATAATTGATATGACTATGAACAATAAATTTTGTTCGAAACGCTGTCATCCAGCAAATAATACTGTTTCACTGTGTGACACATCTAATAAACAAACCAGTATGGAATTTCTTACTACCACAGTGCCCAAGTTTTACACATATATCAAAAGCCATTACTACTAGCTTCGAAGGACAGTTGAAGGGATAGATAGAATTAGAAGTGACTAGCCTAAGTTGCTCATCTTTTAGTTGGAGAATCCCAACCGGTAGTGTGGAAAAATGTTAACTGCAGTTCACTGGCATTAGACGTTCTTTGGGTTGGTTTTCTCAAGTCACTGATTTTTCGTTTATTTGGTATATCGGCTTTGAATTGTAGTCGTTTCTACATAGGCTTCTTGTTAACAAATATATAAGAATTTCTTACTACTTTCTTGACCATGTGTTTAGTGATGGACCTTTTAGTGTCGGCGTTTTCAATTAACGTGTCACACACACAACTCTAAGTTCATTTTTGATCTCATCTTCTGAACAAATATCTCTGACCCTAGAGCTGAGGGTTTTCATCAAATTCCTTTAATGTTGGAAATGAACAAAGCTATGAAAATATGTATATTAACTGGTCCTACCATATGTAAAGGACATCTCAGAAGTCACTAGACGACTCTCCAAACTCTAGGAATTGACGTCTCACACAAACCAACAAAAGCACTTCACTCAGCTGGCTCTATGTCAACCAAAAGACTCAACAACGAAAGGAGATAAAGCCAACATCATCTGCGAATAACACTACATTGGCCAAAGTAGACTTCTCCTTCGTCTTCGCATCCATTATCATAAGCTAGCCGTCAAAAGATATGGCATCCACTCCCTCACTCATATCACTCACTGCATACAGACAACAGTGGACAACAAGTCGACTGGGACAACCAGCGTTCAAAAATATTAGGCAGAGGAAACACCAAGAATGCTAGAGAATTTTTAGAAGCCAGTCTGGTATTTCAGTGAATCATCAATCAATAGACATATCGAGATGGACAAAATTTACCTCCAATACAAGTAGCCTAGAGGGTGTAACAACACACAAAATCAACCAGAGTCACGTTCAATGTGGCCGGGAGAGATGACTAATAAACTCGTGGAGAAATGTAAAATCTCACTTCAATTCAAATTGAAGTATGCGCTGAAGATATCGCCTAGAAGGGGGGCAATGAAAGCTTCGTAAATAAACCACCATCCAGGTAAGAGAACCTAACCACATCAAAATTCCACTTGGTCTAGCGACTCATAGAGGGCATGAATGTGGTAGCACTATAAGATAATACTGCTTACAGTCCTGGTCTTGCAAAAGGCTATAGTAATTGTTCATTTATAACCTGATGCAGGTTGATAAAAGGCAGCCAAACCTGAAATCAACATGTTTAGTCAATGTTTACAGAGTTAGAAGTGTTTATTCCTCAAATCTGGATTTAGTTTACATTGTGGGCATGAAAGAACCTCACTGAACAACCTTGTTTAATCTTGGGTCAATTGCCAACCACTCAGAACACTTTCTTCTCCTCTGACCTGGCCAAAATTAAGTGTAACTAGGACTCTATTTATATGATTGTGTTTCGCCTTAATGGAGGTCTTTTACCAAGTCTGTTATCTTCTCCTATTACGCAGTGTGTGTGTGATACGAACAATAAACTGCACTTGAAAAGTCGTTCAATGAATAACAGTGAACCAGTGCGTGTTTTCGAATATAGAATAATACCGCTAACATCTGTAAAGCCATTAACCGAATCCAACACAGTTTAAGCCAACTTTTCTATTGAGTCTGCTCAATGAAATCATTTATGGTTGCCACTTGATAAATAGTGAAACCGATACTGCATGAAATGTCATAAATTGTGAAATTTGTACACTACTGTAGAGAACATTTCCGTATTTATTTTTTTTAAATTCATTCTTTTACGTTCCAAGTGTAACATAGGGCTTCAAGCCACAGCTTTAAAGTTTCACCAGAAGTGGTTTTATTTTTACGGGGTAGGTTTGCTAACCTCACGCCCAATCTTCCCTCTCTACCAGCCAAGCGACGTTTGGAAGTGCCTCGGTCAAGGACTGAACCTCGAATCGCGGATGTGGTTGCCTCTGCAAAACACCACGATTCTTGTGATAGCAATATAATTCACGTTACAGGCTTTATCCATATCTGCAGCAGGTGTCAAGGCTGAATAGCCTCTGGCAACTGAACAATGTAGGTAAAGGAAGTTGAAAAACTGGATCTTTAACATCGGGAGGAGGATTGGTTCTGGGAGCCAAGTCAAACAGGTCCAAATCAGATAGGCGTTGGTTCAGCTGGCAACTTTCGAAAGAGAGTACGAAAGACGAGGTGTCATTTTATTGTGTATTTACATTATAAAGTATGAATAAAATAAAATCAGCAAAGATACGTCATTTAGTCTATAATAATGACCAATGAAATGGTGGGCGTTATTGTACGCAGGCTGATTCTGATTGGTTTGCTACAGGACAGGACATCAATCACTTAAGTAGGCTAATTCTCATTGGTTTATTTCTAGATTACACATCGATTACCATATCAATTAGTTAACCTTCATTACACTGAGTCATTTATGTTTTCAGAGCTGGTTGATGTAATAATTGCGAAGCTTTCGTCTTCCCTCTTCTAGACAACATCTTCAGCTCAGGTTCTAGTATAAAATGAACGTATTTAAATTCTCCATGAATTATGTAATTGCATCTCCTGGAGACCAGTGTCGTGACTTGTTGTTAATCTACACCTCTGTGGATCATATTCTTATTGACTTGGAATACGGAATTTCTTGTCATGTGATGATTTACTTTTTATCAGCTGAAAAATGTGATCTGAAGTGATGTGTTTGTTAATTGCTGATTCACTTAAATACCAGTCTCTTTGGAATTCTCTGGTAGTATTTTTGGTTTTCCTTTATTTAGAATTTCTACATTATCCCAATCATCAAATTAGTATCCATAATTATCTACACGTATTGATATGAAAGAATATATATCATGTCTTTTCACAGCTAAGTTATGTTCATGGATTCTGAACTGAAGGCGACACTCACTTTGACTCATGTAATGTGTATTGCAGTTCATACAATTTATTTCGTAAATGGTATTGATTTTATCTCCTTTTTCTGTTGGATCTTTTGGCTTACACAATACCGAAGGAAGTGATTGTGTTGGCTGGCTTGTATGCTGTATCTATTTCAAATGGTCTTAATATTCTAGCTGTTATTTCAGAGATACTTTTTATATAGGTTAGGATGAATTTTCTTGTAGTCGTTGATGTTGCTTTACTATTGGTGTTATGAGTCGAGCTTAAACATCTTTTGATGAAATCTTATTGCTGGTTATTCATTCTGTTTGAAGACGGTTAGTAGGTATTTTTCCTCTATTCTCTTTAACACCTCAGCCTGCTTACCTGCGTTCTCTCTCCCGTGTGAAGTGGTATAATAGGGTGAGCAATGTTGACGTTAGGCGTCGAGTGCTAGGTAAGGAGGGGAAATCAATAGACGAGGATGTGAAGCCACATCAACTGAGATAGTAAGAACATGTGTTACGTATGCCTAGCCATAGCTATCCTCGATTGACAGGCAATGTTAGCTGACATAGTGTCCGGCTGGAAAAGAGTCAGTGGCACCAGTCAATGAAATCTACAACAGCTAGTTCAAGCTAAAGGTGTAGACCTCCTGGTTGGGGTCCTCGGGACGGTGAACACCAATTAAGGCTGGAGACAATTGATGATATGGCTCAAAATCGTTCTCAATGGCTGGTGCAGATGCATCCACTTCTTGTGACTTATAATTTCCAATGAAACTATATTATTCTTCGTTATTACTATTCCTTTTGTCTCATTTCCCTGTCTACTGTCTGTCTTATGCATTTCTTCTACTTTCTTCTTTTGCTTTGTGTGCTACAAGGAGGGAGTGTGGCAGCTTGAGCTGCTATACATCAGTGCAAAGTTCTGTGTTGAAAACAGACAGACAGACAATACCGAAGCGCTACATTTTATTCGGACTCTGGTAAACAATGTCTGCACACAGTTTCTTTTATGGGTAATTGGGTATTTGGCCTGTATGCCTTGATTTGCTATATATTTGTGTTTCTAAACTTTCTGTGTTATTTCTCTTGATTAAGTAAGAAATCTAGGAATGCAATTTTGTTGTCTAATTCTTCTTCTCTTGGGGATTTAATATCTTCATACATGTTCTTTATTAATTTGTGAGTATATTTCATTCCTGTCTCCTCATTAATACTACTGTTTCATACGTTTATGCTATTCTTAAGAATAAAGGGTCATTACTTACTAAAAACCCGATTCTTGCGATGAAGGAACAGAAATACTCATCAGACTAAGGCTTTCACAGATACCAAGACGGAGGTGAGCCATATATCTATCGGGATCATTTCACGAAACTTGAATCTCTCATACTTGTTCTTCTTTATAAGTATGAAGTAACAGACATAAACAGTGAGTGTACTTTAAAAATGATTTTATTCATATTAACTTACAGCTAAATAGGTGAATTCTGTACGATACAATAATGGTATACAATGAATTGTTGTCCCAATGCATAGAAATAATTCAAATTTGAACAGTGATCTGTGCCAATAGTTTGACCAACCTAAACACCAAATTTTAAAAACAGCTTCAAAGTTGAACAGAACTGTGAATAGTATCTGTGAAAAAATTGGGGAATAATGCAAAAAAAGACGAAAACAGAAAGAAAATATAAGTTAATAATAACTTTAAGCGTGATATTTGACTTAATAAATTAAACTGCAGTTTTTCAGAGGTATTTATTCTCCTTTTCAGATAAATTCACTCTTTATATGAACGCTTCGACGAGTTGTATCTATTTATATTGATTGTAGGATGTCTAATCTGTCCTATTTAGGACTAGTCAGATGGATGAACCTGAAATCATGGCCTAGTGGATAAACGCTTTAAAAGCTAGAGGTATGAACTGAGAGTTCCAGTCGCAGGCCAGACACTATCATTCACTTGCAGTGTAAAGACATCTAGTTGACGAGTCACAAGAGCATGATGAATTGCACATTTCGGTGTTCACTTTTCTTGAATAAACGAATTCTGATGTCCATATTAGTTTGTTTATTAGGTATATCACACAGTGAAACAGTATTATTTACTGGATGACGTTTCGAACAAAATTTATTGTTCATAATCATATCATATTTAAATTCCAAGGGAAAATATACAAAAAAACTGAGGGATTTGCCATGGGATCACCAATATCCCCAGTGGTAGCAGATATATTCATGAGTAAGTGGGAAAGCGTAGCGATTGAAACGTTCACCCCCACCCCAAAAGTATGGTGGAGGTACGTAGATGACACATTCACTGTACTTAGAACACAAGATATAGATAGGTTTTTTGAACACATAAACTCGAAGGTTGAGGCAATTCAATTCACTTATGAACTGGAAAATCAGGAAGGGGAGCTCCCAATGTTAGATTGCAAGGTAAAGAGGAAAGAAGATGGGAAGTTAAACACTAGTGTTTACAGGAAACCCACACACTCAAACAGATATTTGGACTTCCAATCATCCCATTCCATGTCAGTAAAAATACGATTGGTGAAATGTTTAAATGACAGAGCTCAAAAATCAAGTAGTACTAAAGAAAATCTAAACCAAGAACTGATACATATAAAAGAAGCCTTGAAACTTAATAATTACCCGGCTAAATTAGTCAGGAAATATGTAAGGAAATGTACAAATAAAATAAATAATGACAGTAGCGATAGTGATAATAACAATAATAATGATAATGATAATAGTGACAATAATAATAATATTGATGACGACACCAACAATAAAGAGTCTAAATCATCAGTAGTAATTCCACACAAGGAAGGAACCTCGGAAGGCTTACGCAGAATTCTCAACAAGGCAGCAATAAAAACGGCATTCAAACCCACAAACTCGAATAGAAACAAGCTTTGTCAGCTAAAGGATCCTGTAGAGCCTTTAAAACAAAACAATTTAGTTTATCTAATACCCTGCCTGCAATGATTGTCACGTCAAATACATAGGTCAAACTAGTAGAACAGGGTCAGTCAGACTAGCTGAACATAAAAACTTAGCAAAATCTAGATTGGTTGACCCGGATAAAATAAGAAATCTAGGGAATAGTTCAGCCATAGCACTACATGCAGTCACACACAACCATACAATAGGATAGGATAGGATGACAGTTTTAAAATCTAATTTCACAGGGTGAATGAAGGGAGAGATTGATAACAGAAGCTTTGTTTATCGAATCAACTGCAAATACGTGTAATAGGAATAATTCAACACCTGTCCAGTAGTATATCTGGAAAATTCTACTACCCCATTGACGACAAATAGGAGAGAACAAAGAAAGCTATAAAATTCAAGTTTTGAAGTCGTGTGATAGATATGATTATGAACAGCAATACATTTTGTTCGAAACGTCATCCAGTAAATAATACTGTTTCACTGTGTGATATACCTAATAAACAAACTAATATGGAATTACTTACTACCACAGTGCCCAAGTTTTACACATATATGAATTCTGATGTTAACACCAGGTAAGACAATGAATTTAGACACTGCATGAAAGACGTTCATATTGACCAAGAACGAAAACACATTGAGGCATTTATGCACAGAATAAATTGTGTATAGTATGTCATTTACTATGCTTGATGAGGCTATATATGTCACGAGTGGACTCCATGAGTGATCGATAAAATGCTCACTGTGTCATCTCTCGTAGGATCAGACGTAGCGAAGTGCTGAGGAGTTCTGAAATAGGACGAAACAGATATCCAGTGATTCCTTGACTTTCATGGATTCCGTAGCTCACTTGAGTATTTTCCAAAACCAACCAAATATTAAATTTGAAGAATACTAGGTCAGATTTTTAGGAGGATTAATTGAATTCCTTCCTATCCGAGGAGAAACCAACTCAGATGATACCTATAAAAGATGGTCAAGGGAACCTAATTACCAATGAGAAGAAACAAATAATACAATGGGCTGATAAGTTAAGAGGACTCTTTGAAGCAACTCACTCAACCACAACCAGTAACAGCGCGCACAGAACTGCCAGTGGACACCGATCCGTCAACGAAAGCAGAAATCCTGAATGCCATCAAGATACTGGAGACCTGCTGAGAAATCAGCAAGGCCAGGCAAAATTCCTCCCGAAGCACTGAAAACGGATCCAGAGACTGCCACAGATGTGCTCATGCCATTACTGCTAAAGCTTTGGAGGGAAGGAAAGATGTCTTACGATTGGAAGAAGGGCTACCTTGTCAAACTACCAAAGAAGAGTGACATGGGTCTCTTTGAAAACTGTTGTGGGATCAAGCTGTTGTCCACGCCAAGTAAAATACTAAAATACATCATTCCGGAGAGAATAAAAGATGACTTGGATGCAGAACTCCGTCACTCACCGGAACAAAATGGATTCAGGAAAGGCAAATGAATTGCCGATCAAATAGCAACTCTACGCACCATTATCCAATGGAGCATAGAATGACGGTCAAATCTTCCTCTTAATTCCACTGACTTCGAAAAAACCGTCGACAGCGTTGACTGCAAAGAGATTTGAAAACTACTTCAACATTATAGAGGGCGGTACCCTGAATCTTTGTTGACTTCATTCAATATCTGGTCATTTGGCAATGCCACAGGTCAAGTCATCCACAACAGTAGACTCAGCAGAGCCTTTGGATTGGATACAACAGTAAGTCAAGGTTGCCTGCTATCACCACTGATGGACTGGAATATGTGGCACACTGTGCGTGGGGAGCGAGGAGTCAGGAATACGCTGGATTGATAATGAGACTGTAGAACAACTGAACTTCGAGGACAGTTTACATCTAATGTCGCAAAAACTCAAAAACATACAGGCGAAAACATAAGAGTTGGCAAAGGAAGCAACCATGAAATACAAGACTTGAAGTGAATATAGAGAAGGCGGAATCGATGACGATAAAAATGATGATGATAACAAACATCAGTCACTATCAGCTGGAGGAATGTGAATGAGATCACTTCTTTCATTTCTCTGACCTTGGCAGCATCATTTCAGCTAAATGCAGAATGTGTTACGATGTCAAAAAAGGAATCTTGAAGGCAACACCGACCTTCGTCACCTTGAAATCACTTTAGAAATCATATGCATTCAGAATAAACTACAAAATTACTATTTTCAGCAAGTCACTTCTCGTTTATGGCTAGGAGACTTGAAGCGATTTTCATGAAAGGCATTTCCGATAGTCTAATGCAAGTACCTTCAATAACTCACTTCTAACAGTCACATGGCTGGCTAGAAGGAACTAGCAACAACAAACTTTGTCAGTGCAGAGAATCAATCAGAAACATGTTGCTCAACTAAGATTCAGAAGGAAATGGGGGTGAATAGTACACACATTCAGGAGACCGTCGAATGACACCGTACTCCAAGTCATCTTTCGAATGGAACCCGAATGGGAAACGACTACTTCGACCTCTTTTCGTGGGCAACATAAAAAGACTGTATGAAGAGAAGATGAGAGCTGTGGAGAGCATGATTATTTGGAAATGTGCTGTTGCAGCCGTATGTTCCACTCGAAACCCAAGGGAACAAGAATGTCATGTTCAACACAAATGAAAACCCGGTCAGCAGACAAAGAAACAAGAAGATGCTTGCAATAGCAGAGGATTGTGCAATTCGAATTTATAAACCAGGTCTCTGTGTACAAAAGGGGATGTTAGTGACTCTGAATCAACCATGGTAATACGTTTCATTTATTATTCTACCTATTATTATTATTATTCTTGATTCATTTAAAACTATCCTTTATCAGTAGGATTATCTTAACTCACTTCAACACTATTATTATTATTGTTGTTATTATAACTATTACTATTGATATTACTCTGTTTGCAATTCTTGTTATATTCTCTAATGACTAATTGTTTACCTGAGTGATGTAAGTGAAACGTGATGAATTTTATGTTAATTTTGATCTCTCATACTCTCTCTCCCTTTATCTATTTGAACATGACCTGGAAAAACATTCGCACCTGTCTTTCTGCATGACTAATTCAGTGTAGTTTGTTTACTTAGCAATCTTATATCTCCAAATGTAATTTCAAAAGTATGTATATCCCCGTGTATGTAGAGTATTCAGCTGACGAGTTCTACCGAAATTTGAAGAATTCATTAACTCCTGCTTTATTAACCTTTATTGCTTGTTTTAAAAACCCGGTCAGTTAATACTTCTACATGGGTCAGAAACTTGCACTGTGTGTCACGAAAAGGACTCCCAACAGGTTACAGACTTTCATCAACAGCCGCCTTCGCTGACTCCATATTGAAGTTCACATGGCCAGAAATAATGGATAACACAAAACTCTGGCAAAAAACCAATAGGCTACAGCTGATTGCTCAACACACATGTAGGAGAAAATGGAGATGAATCGGGCACACATTGAGGAGGCCACCGAATGACATCGCATGCCAGGCCAGTCCTCGAGTGGAATCCAAATGGGAAGCGACGAGTAGGTCGTCCTATGGTGACATGGAGGAGATCTTGTGAGGAGGAGACGGGAGAGTTTGGTCAATCGTGAAGCTAGCCAGCTGAAGAGGTGAGCAGAAAACAGAACAAAGTGGAGACGTGTTGTTGAAGCCCTATGTT